GGCGGCCATGGCGGAGAGTCCCCTTCGGGCGGCCATGGCGGAGAGTCCCCTTCGGGCGGCCATGGCGGAGAGTCCCCTTCGGGCGGCCATGGCGGAGAGTCCCCTTCGGGCGGCCATGGCGGAGAGTCCCCTTCGGGCGGCCATGGCGGAGAGTCCCCTTCGGGCGGCCATGGCGGAGAGTCCCCTTCGGGCGGCCATGGCGGAGAGTCCCCTTCGGGCGGCCATGGCGGAGAGTACCCTTCGGGCGGCCATGGCGGAGAATCCCCTTCGGGCGGCCATGGCGGAGAGTCCCCTTCGGGCAGCCTATATCCCCCCCCCCCCAAAACTTTCTTGGGGGGAATCACAGGCTCTGGGACAGGCTCTGGGACGTGGACAGTCTCAGGGTGGGCAGACGGGACGTGGAAAGTCTCTGGCTGGGCTAGCGGTGAAGGCCCGGCTATGCTGGATGGAACCAGTGGTGAAGGCTCAGAAGGGCTGGACGGGACCAGCGGAGAAGGCTCTGAAGGACTGGACGGGACCAGCGGAGAAGGCTCTGGCTCGGCCGGCGTGACGCGAAGCTCCGGCTCGGCAGGCGTGCAGGGAAGCTCAGGCTCGGCAGGCGTGCAGGGAAGCTCCGGCTCGGCAGGGCTGCAGTGGGGCGCAGGCGGGCAGGCGACGTGAAGCTGCGGTGCAGGCTTGGCTGGGTTGGGCGGAACCAACGGTGAGGGCTTGGCTGGGCTGGACAGAACCAGTGGTGCAGGCTGCTCTGGACTGAACAGAACCAGGGGCGAAGACGGCTCTGGGCTGGACAGGACCAGCAGCGAAGAGGGCTTTGAGCTGGACAGGACCAGCGGCGAAAAGGGCTTTGAGCTGGACAGGACCAGTGGCGAAGACGGCTCTGGGCTGGACAGGACCAGCGGCGAAGACGGCTCTGGGCTGGACAGGACCAGCGGCGAAGAGGGCTTTGAGCTGGACAGAACCAGCGACGAAGAGGGCTCTGAGCTGGGCAGGACCAGCGACGAAGAAGGCTTTGAGCTGGACAGGACCAGCGGTGAAGAGGGCTCTGAGCTGGACAGGGCCAGCGGCGAAGAGGGCTCTGAGCTGGACAGGACCAGCGGCGAAGAGGGCTCTGGCACTTCTGGACCGATGAGAGGAGGAAGATCGGTGAAGTCATCAAACTCGTAATTAAACTTAACTGTGCAGATGACTGGTTCTGGTTTAACTGGACTATATCGCCCATATCCTCCCCTGTGACCTCCACGGTTCCCACGGAACACAGCTTGGCGGGTTCCCACAAAGGCTTGCTTCCAGCTCTCCATCTTCCCTTTTTTCCTTTCTTTATGGTCGGTTCTTCTCAGCCTGGACGAGAATTCTAACCCTATCGTCCAACTTAGGGTGGTCGGTCTTTCTGTCACGGGTATGTGCGGGTTGAAGAAGACAATGGTCGACAGGTTCCAATTCAAACATTTATTCCTATTTCCAGGATCAGGTTAAGGCATACACACAAAGGTGACGTATAAACAAATACCGACAAGGAATGACTGAACAGAGGGAACTAAATACACAAACCAATGAACACTAATGATGTGCAAACAGGTGAGACTGATGATGACGAGGAAATGAGGGAGTGAGATCAGGTGTGGAGACAAGAGGGATTCTGGGAGATGTAGTGCAAACAAGACAGAACAGTGCAGACGAAGACTGTGACAGGTATACTGTCCTTGTCCAGAAAGGAAATAAAGACATCATCAAAGTAGTCCATGTGACATCAGTGGGTTAGTTAGAGTGTGTTGAAGCATCGAAAATACATTTTGCTCCAAAAATAACAAAAACTAGGCCTTTATTCAGCATTGTATTGTCTTCCGGTTCTGTTGTGGATCCGCGTTCAGTGCCGCCGCTGACGTAAGACTCTGCTGACGTGTATCTTTTAACATGACAGTTTAAAGGTTAATAAATTCTGCGAAAATATAATGCCCATTCTTAGTTCATATTAGTTAATAAAAAATATTAATTACATTTTGCATAAAGAAAATGCAAAATATGAGTGAGATTTACCCAGCCATTATTTAATACTTTTAAAGTATCTTATGCTCACCAAAGCTAGTTATTTGAGCATAAATAACAGTTAAAAATATATATAATTTTATAAGATATTACTGCAGTTTAAAACAACTTGTTTTCTATTTTATTATATTTTAAATAAAAAATTCAAAGCTGTATTTTCAGCATCATTACTCCAGTCTTCAGTGTCACATGATCCTTCAGAAATCACTCTAATATGATGATTTGCTCAACAAGAAACATTTCTGATTATTATTATTATCATTGTTGAAAACAGTTGTGCTGCTTCATATTTTTGTTTGATGAATATTCAACGTTTCTTTGATGAATAAAAAGTTTGAAGAACAGAATTTCTTTGAAATAGAAATCTTTAGTATCAAATGTTTTCACTGTCTCTTGGACTTTTAAATGATAGAGTATGTTACACAATATTTATATTAGATAATTATTAATAATATTAGAAAAATGTGTATTATCAATTATGTTAACAAGTCTGTCCTTAATTTCTGAAATTTTAAACCAGCCAAATGACGTGTGTGTGTGTGCGTGCGTGCGTGCGTGCGTGCGTGTGTGTGCGTGTGTGTGTGTGTGTGTGTGTGTGTGTGTGTGTGTGTGTGTGTGTGACCCCAGCTCGCAGGAAAGATGTGCGGCTCACAAAAGAGCAGGAGAGCCGTCTGCCCTCTCATTGGCTGAAGAGCAAGGGAGCTCACAAGACCATGGCTGACGCTCTGTGGCGCCTTCGGGACCTGATGCTGCGAGACACACTAAACATTCAACACACGTATAACATCCAAAACATCTGAAGCATTCCTCTTCATTATTCTTACACAGTGAGACGAGCTGTTCTTAATGTTTTCATGTTGTGATCGAATAACGTTCTGTTTAGGGGTTTGTAATGCTAAATATTGTCTGTTGGCTGCGTTAGCGTTGATGTTTCTTGATAGCACTTTCAATTGGCTCATTTTGTATGTTGACTATTAAATGTTCTTAGACCAATTTAAACATTTTCATAAAATGTTGAACTTTAAAGTGTTGACCTTAATGTTTGTTCATTGTAATTTGTGAGGCGAATAAGTTAGGATTGTTCTGAAAGAATGTAGAAATGGCCGTTTTTGGGTCTTGGTTCGTAAAATGGTATGACAAGAAGTTAATAGGCCTATTTTTCATATCATCCCAGTTGTATCAGCTAAAATCATTTTGGAATGGACACTATCTGTCTATTGTTTCAATAAACTAACAGTGACAAAACTACTGGACATAATTGCTTTTGTATGGTAAGGAAAAATAACCATTTTTATAATTTACCCTGGTAACTCTTATATATATATACTGTATATATAATATACACACACCACTTTTGTTTTTAAAGAAGTCTTAAACGCTCACCAAAGCATTTATTTGATCAAACATACAGTTAAAACACAGTAATACTTAAGTCTTTCATTAGTTTACTCTTTTCTAGTTTAATATATTTAAAAAAAAATGTTTATCTATTCCTGTAATAGCAAAGCTGAGTGTCAGAAGTGTCACATGATCCTTCGGAAATCATATTATGCTGATTTGGTGCACAAGAAACATTTATTATTTACGTTAAAAAAACAGCATTTTTTAGAAATATAAACCATTTGCAACATCTTTACTGTCACTTTGCATCAAATTTCCTTGCTGAATACAAGACTATATATGATGAAAAGTGAAAGACATCCATAATAGAACATTCGTTACTGTGCACTCGCCTCAGTGAAAGCTTATTTTTATTTTTTATTGAGAACATTATATAAACAAAAAAGGAAATGGTCACAATCTAGAAAAAAAGAAAGAGAAGAGCCCCTGCGAAAGGTTTTTTATTCATTTTATTTTTGCCCTGGTGAATGTTTATTTTATTTTATTTTTATTAAATATTTACTTACAAGACACAGAAGTGAACATTCATAAGCCAAAAAAAGCCAGAGGTGCAGGGACTGATAGATATTACATCACATTTGAATTTAGAGAAAGAAAAAAAAGAAGTATCGATTAGAAACAATTCTATCCATAAAACATAGAATAATAATAAAATAAAGAAATTATAAATAACAGAAGAAATTATACAAAAACACCAAACATTGAGCATACATTCAAAGTTTTAGTAGCCTTTTTGTTACAAGAGCTAGATAAGGATTTGATATAGATCTTAACATCATTTTGAAAGTGAGAAAAATTGTGGGTAACTTTCATAGTTTTACATTTGTGGACAAAATATTTTGCAAGCAAAATAATTAAGTTACAAAGAAAAAAGATATACTCATATTGCTTCTCAAAAATGAAAAACCCAAACGAAACATCCTTGAAATAAAGCTCTAAGTCTTTATATATATAGTTTAGAATGAACTGGCAAATGTCTTGCCAAAGTTTTTTTTAGTTTTTATTATGCTTTAAACAACAAATATAGAACAATACAACAGACAATATAACGCCAGGGTAATAAAAAAAAAAAAAAAAAAAATAGAAAGGGGGAAAAAATTAATTAAATAAATAAATAAATAAAATTTACACTCAAAAACATGCAAGACCTTTACATTACTCAAATATTTTGAAGAGAGAACATAAACGGACACTTTTAATAGCCTTTCTATTAGCGCTGAATAGTACAAAGGTAACTTTCCAATTCTTTAGAAAACACTGTAAAACATGGTTTTCTGTTAGAAAATTTACACTTGTGGATGTGAAACTTAACTAAAAGAATAAACAAATTAATAACAAAATCTTCGTTATTCACATTATCCTGAATAAAATATCCAAAAATTACATTTTCAAAAAAGACGTGGGATAGTTTCCAATTGCAAAACGCAAAAAGAGCAGGTAACATCAATATCCTTCTTACATTTACTAAGAAAATGTCTAACAGGATAGAATCTATGAATGATTTTGAAAGAAATTTATTTTACGTCTTGCCAAAGGTGGGTTCATTGTCCGCCATTTTGGTGACGTCACTCGTGAGGGAATGAATGAAGCGTCATCCTTCAGGAGCAGCTTTTGCAGCGCGAGGCCTCACTGCACGCGCAAACACGTCACTAGATAGGACTTATTACATTTATTAACCTCCAAATCACAACATATAAACGCAAGACAATGTGGAGCGCCGGAGCGGTGAGTTTAGTGCTGATCTCGTGCCTCTTCTGCGCGTCGGTGAGCGCGGACGGGCTGGTGAACGAGGACGTGAAGCGCACGCTGGATCTGAGCACTCACCTCGGGAAGATCACAGCCGAGATTCAGCTCGCGAATCACGGGGCGTCGCGAGCGCACAGTTTCACGCTCGCGCTGGAGCCCGAGCTCGCGCCGCATCTGGCCTTCATCGGTGCATCTGTGAGTAAATCATAAACGAATAAATAAATATGCAAGAAGGCAGGAGTGGGTGATGCTGAAGGGGAGCTCTTTCCTAGCTATCACTTAAGATTCACTGGCTCTCTTTTAATTCTAACTGATTCATTTCGGATTGTTTCGTGCTTTTTAAATTATATCTGAAACTTATATTTGCCATGGAGACAATAGGTAGTGCAACTTTTCATATACTGTAGCCTAAGCTAGCTGCACGATTCCGCTTGATTTGTACATTTGCACATATTTTTGGCAAATTTTATCTCACACAATGTAATTAAGATGTAATGTTTGTTCAAATAATTAATTCAAATGAAGTATGATGTAATGCACATGGCATTATTGAGGTGTTATATCTAGGAGTTAGCATTAGCTGTGGTTGTGCAGCGCACTTCCGCTTTGCTCTGTCAGTGCCAGCGTGACACGTACGTTCCGGAAACACAGATCACTTCCGTGCAATAACAGCAATATTATACAAAAACATGAATCCAGCGTCATTTGGGTTTCTTCTTTCAATAAAAACGTTTGTTTCTCGTGCTTAAATGTGTATATAAGAAGCTATGAGTTTGACAGACGGCTCATTTGCAGGTGTTTGGCTTTGATCTGTGTTTGTTTTAAGCTTCAACAGACTTTACGGTCATGGATTTTCCCTGTTTTTCTTACTTTAGACGGCATATTAAGAAGTTTCTGGTTATAACAGAAGTTTGTTTTAATCTTCACCAGGTAAAGGGGGAGGAAGAGGAGGATGAAAGCCTAGAGCTGAAAGAGAAAACTATCCATGGACAAAGGTAAACACTTGGGGAAGTATTAAACTCGGCATGAAACAGAAGTTGCAATCATCGTTTCTTCACTGTTGTGACGAATACCGCTTCTCGAGCCAGAAAAAAATAAATAGTTTGGGACTTTTTGGCCATGGGAAATTGATTGAGGTCTGCTATTGGTGGATCTCATGTGAGTGACAGGTTGCCCCGCCCCTCTCATCAGTAAACACGTCATCAGAGAAGAGATGTCACTGGAAGAGGGAGGGGAAGTTATTTTGATTGAAGAATATGAGGGCACTTGAATTTCGTTTATTTGGCTTTATGCACAGCTTCACTACTTCCTGAACTTTAGCCAGCTCCTTTGTTTCCTGTCTGCCATTTATTGGACATACTGATTAATCCAGGTGTGCCTGGCCTCAGTTGCAATAATCAGGCACACCTGGATTAATCAGTTTGTCCAATAATGACAGGAAACAAAGGAGCTGGCTAATGGCGGGCATACACTGTGCGATTTTCGTCCGATTTTGAGCCGAATTCTGACTCGTGCGACTCTTTTTCGGGTTCGACTCTTTTTCTTTCTCATCCATGCAAGTCAATCCACACAAAAAAAATGTTTTGGCTTCGTAATCTTTAAATCAAAATCTGAAATTTCCCCTCCCCTCTGCGTTGGAGGACCTTCCCTGATGACGTAGGTTTGACGGTTTGGGTGTCTGTAATCACGCCCCTCCAACTGACAGTAGACAGGCTGAATGAAAACACCTACTTTTCTAGATCCAATCATGTGCTAGTTGGGGAAAAAAGCCACGCCCACTATTGTGCCTCATTTAGTATTCCGTTTCTCTCGGAAATACGTCACAACACTGGAGAAAAGTCGTTCCGGTTCACGGGGACTTTAAGAGAAAAGCTCTGTTTTGGGGGATTTAAACTGACATCTGGCAACCCACGCATAAAACCTTGTTAACAATGCGATTAATAAATGAAATAAAAAAGTTTTCAGGATACATAACCAGTGGGCTAATATCTCAGATGATTATGCTTATTCGAGAGAAGCAATAATGTGAAATCCAATTTTAAAATGCAAGTTGATGTGGTTTGAAGACAGATTTAATGTGCGTTTTGCTTTTTAGACTACAAACAATTACTCTAACATGTGAGAAGTTCCACATGGTCTGTGAGAGACGCTCCTCTGTGTGTGTATAGTAGGGGTGTAAATCGGACAGTTAATCACGATACGATATCGATTCTCTCAGCCAGCGATACGATATTTGCCGAAACCTCAAAAAATTCTACGATTCGATTACGATTCGATTCAGGGCTATATCGATCGATTAATCGATATTTAGATATTATGTGCTAAGTGTACACAACCGGTTACGTTTATTAACTCACAATACATCCAAAGATATATATAACATGAATGTTTAATTAAACTCTTAGAAAATTGCACACCCTCTCCCAATTGGGACATTTACAAGTTAAAAAAAAAACACGATAGCCTATATGAAAATGCACAAGAACGCAGTTATCTGTTTTTGCAAATGAACTCTTCTGTTATATTAAAGTTCATTGAAAGGATGTATATATATATATATATAATATTGTGTGGCAAAAGCAGATAACTCCACATTTCATGTTTCAGAGTTAAACAAAGCCAAGAGTTTGCTATGATACATAATAAAACACTTGGTTAATCTTTGTAACGCTAATCTCCTCAGCTGATATAGATGCCCGTCAAACTTTGTTGTTGTGATTAATGTACACAAAATACAGAGAGCTGTTCACTTACCACTAAACGTGCTGTTTTAGCAAGATTCGGTGACAAAGTTTCAGCTTTTATTTTACTTTTACGACCCGAATATCACGGGTTCATCAAGTTCGCTGAAATCCATCCTCGATCACTTTTAGTCAGCTTGACGAAACTCCTCTCAGCTAGCGCGTATTTTCAAAGTGACAAGCAGCCTTGTCACCTGACCTGAATACTGCGCACTGATTTGCTAAAACAGACTTTTCGGGGCTTGTTGTTTCTGCTGTAAAACATGAACTCGCGATGATAGTGGAAAATACCGGCTTCTGGAGTGTGTCAAAATAAAGGTACCGTACATCAATATTTTATGTGTGGTATCGATGCATCGTATTGTTAGACGTTTGATCGATACATCGATCCATATCGATGTATTGTTACACCCCTAGTGTATAGGCATGTTCCTCCTCTTGGAGATGTACACATCATTGACCGCTCCGTCTTGTTTGCTCCCTCTCCTGCAGTGGTAAATTCTTCGAGGCACAGCTGCCGTCTCCTCTCGCTCCGGGGGCTAAGCTGCGGGTGAAGGTTGAGACGGTGTTCAGTCACGTGCTGAAGCCTTTCCCCACCCAGATCACCCAGGCCGAGCGGCAGCTGGTGGTCTTCCAGGGGAACCACTACCTGTTCTCCCCGTACCCCACCCGCTCCCAGACCACCCGTGTGCGCCTGGCCTCCAAAACCGTGGAGACCTACACCAAACTGGGCAACCCCTCCAAGAGCGACGAGGCCATTGAGTATGGGCCGTTCAGAGATGTACCTCCCTTCAGCCAGGTGACTCGCCACAACAGTCATTCTGCTGTGTAGTAATATCCTGCAAACAGTGTTTACACATGATAGTATTGTCTTTATGTGCCAGTTATGAAACTGACTGACTGACTTCATGCTTCACGGGAGTTTTTCAGTTTTGTTTTTACATAACTAAAGTTTGGGGTCAATGTTTTGCTCCATAAGGCTGCATTTATTTGAGCAAAAGTAATTATTAGTAATTAGTAACAGTAATTTTGTAGCCTGACGTCGTCATACTCAGATTCTAGTCAGAATATGAATCTGAAAAACTGCTACATTGGGCTGTGATTATGGCGTGTTTCAACCGAACCAGGAAAGAAAATGCCTCTACACTCGATTGGATCGGCGAATGCCTTGATCGCGGTTCTCTGTTCCTCTTTTAAAATGAATGCGCTGTCGTCGATATCTTCTATAACAGACGCGATGGCAGAATCTACACATCTCAGTTCTCCAGCGGCGGCCATCTTTGTTGTAAACGAACTCAACCCAAGCGCTCTTTGGTGACGTGGATGATTACGCTACTGTTGATCATCTGTCCATCATCGTATAAAGCCCGCCCTGACCGTTTGATTGGTCGGAACAGCTCTGGTTCGAGCATAGTTGCTCCACAACGGATCAAGTCCAGACCGAACTTCCCGACCTCAAATGTTGTGGGCGGGGCTAAGTTGGGCTTGCATCCAGGCTAGTAATTTTGTGAAATATTACTTTAATTTAAAATAACTGTTTCCTATTTTAATATATTTTAGAATGTAATTTATTCCTGTGACGAAGCTGAATTTTCAGCATCATCGATGTTAAAAACAGTCGTCCTGCTTAATATTTTTGTGGAATCTGTGAGAATTGTTTTTGCAAGATTCTTTTAATAAAAAGTTAAAAATAGCATAATATATTTGAAATGGAAATCTTTTGTAACCATTTTAATTGTCTTTATGTTTGATCAAATCTTACTGACCCAAACTTTGAACTAGAGGTGGACCGATAGCTAAGTTAGGCAGTACCTGCCGATAATTGATTAACCTGAAGGGGAATGATAGTCAGACCCAATAATGAGACCAGTATGCTCAATGAAGACCAGGGGCCCTATTTTAACGATCTGAAACGCAAGTATCAAGCGCGAGGCGCAAGTAACTTTGTGGGCGGGTCTTGGGCGCTGTTGCTATTTTCCCGGCGGGATAAATGACTCTTGCGCCCGACGCAAGTTTAAAAGGGGTTGGTCTGAAATATCTTCATTATTCATAGGTGTGGTTTGGGCGTAACGTAAAATAAACCAATCAGAGCGTCATCCAACATTCCCTTATAGAGCAGGTGCGCTTGTTGCATGGCGGATTGTTATTATAACGGCGGATTTACCAGGCGCGCGCCAGGAGCGTTCACAGCCGAGGAGACCGACGTTCTTGTCAGGACCGTGAAAGACAGAGAAGTGGCGTTGTATGGAGATGGGAGATTTATTTATTTTTCCTGGTTCTTGACGGACAAACTAATTTGTCAGATGTCCTTATATACATATGTGTCTTGCCACTATTGGGCAAACAGGTCTGATCCGTCATTACAATTAGCCTGAAAAATTTGGGTAAATGTGTAAGCTAGATTTAGGCCTACATTTTTTTACATCTTCATGGACACCACAATGATTTCCCTCATGGGTTAATATTTTTCCTTGTTATAATGTATGATTTGCAAAAATAAAAACTGCTGCATCTGTGTTGATGAGAGAATCAAAGTGTATGCGCGTTGTGCACCCGCTACATTATGGCCAAGCATGCGCGCTTAAAATAGCATTATGAACAACGCGCACCGCGCCACTGACTTTAGACTAGGCTTTTTCTGGTCAGTGGCGGAATTGTTTTCTGGAACAGCAAAATAGCGCTAGGGAATGTTTGCGCTGAAACACGCCTCCTTTTTGCGCCGACCCGCCCAGGGAGCGCAAGTTCATTCCCTAGTTTACCGACGTGCGTCTGTGGAGGGAAAAGTCCGCTTTGCGCGGGTGCAAAATAGGAATGATACATGCGTCAGTGTACAAAGTCATTTGTGCCCGGTGCAAGATAGGGCCCTAGGTGTTGATGTTCAATCAGTTGACACTTGACAGAGTTTACTGAAGACGAAGTTCTACACATTTACAAAAGCTGTAGAAAATGAGTGGATAAAACAGTCCCAAACTAACTTAGGATACAGAAACACTAGTACCTATAGTCATATTTATAATCAGTTGATGTCATTTCTTCTGTTCTTCACTCAAACGAGGTTATTTAAAGACATTATCTTTGACACACTTTGTTCTATATATGTAAGCAACTTTGGTAAGGGCCACAGGTGATACTGAATCAAAACAAATTTGAATATTTTTCTATTAATATATTAGTTTACATTTACTTTGCTTAATGCAGTCAAATCCTAATGCATGTCAAAAGATCATATTTTTGTTCCGTCCATTGCTGTGGTTATGACATTCATTGCAATTTTGAGAGTAAATCCTGTAAGGGTGATTTTTGGGGTCGATCATGATTACTATCACTAAAAGCAGTATTGTCCGAAATAAATAGGCCAACTATTCTTAATGTATTTTTAGGTATAAAAAAATGAATAGAGATGAAGTATCATTAATTGACAACGCTTATTTATTGGTGTGCAACATATTCCATTACCTCTATTAGAGGAACTTAGAGCTTCGCAAATATAGCATTCCTGTGAAAAATAATAATAAAAAAAAACAGAACCGACTTTATCAACTGCAAGTAATCAAATGTAAAACAACATTGCATAGTCTTCACTGTATAAATTCTTTTCTCTTTTGATTAACATTTATAACGCAGACAGTAGCAGGAGTATTAGGCTGCTGTCACTTTAAGACTGAATGCGCGGATCCAATATACTGTTACACATGCGATTTATTTCCCAACCCTTTGTTCACTTAAGATGTAACCGACGGTGTACTCACCAAGCTAGGCATTTTGACACATTTCTGTGTATATTTGATCATTTAGGCACAAACCTGAAGCTCAAAGTTTACTTTGCTTGTTCATGTTCCAATCCGTCTCGGAACGCGCGCACAGAAATCCTCTTGGGGAACAGTATCTCTTTCACAGCTTAATGCAGTTTAATAACGCTTTTTATTATCGAGCACGTCCTGCAGTTTAGTGTTTAGTGACTGTATTTTATGACAATCGTTGATCGAGCTGTTTTGGACGTCAAGTTTGGGTTTTTAGCGTGAAACGTAAGCACATGCAGAACTCGGCACTGAACAAACAATCTGGTGTTTTGAGCGGGGAATAGATTCTGTCCAACATAAACACTTCTAATTGGCGATTGCGTCCAAGAAATCAACCTTTGACACTCTCCAGAGCACAAACACAAAACCCGCTTGAGCATTTGCCAAATCTTCTTTGCCAATATGACATTATTACAGTATCAACTAAGGGTGCTCCTGCTTTCTTTTGAGGGTAGTTAGCACCCTCTAGAACCGGCAGTCTCGCATTACCAGCTTTAAATATACAGCCTAGCTGGCTTACTAATGCGTAAACGTGCCCAGCTGGATTTAAACCAGGGTTCCTCAAAAGCAGTCCTGGAGGGCCTCAGCTCAAACCCTGATCAACTCGCCTACCTGTGATTTGTGTAGTGCAATGTTGTTTTCGTCAACGATGACGATAACGAAATGATTTCGTTGACGCACTTTTTTTTTTTATGACGATAACGCGACGATGACTAGCTAAAAATAGCTCTAAGGTGACTAAAACATGACGAGACGTTTTCGAGTTTTCGTTGACAAGACGAGACGGAACGAAAATACTATAAGTCTGACGTTCGCAATGCATGTCATTTCTGCCTATTTTGCGTGAAATCTGTCTGTTTTGAGCTAAAAAAGTATCAGCAATGCTGCCGCTTCCTATAATTGTTTTGGGTACCCATGCTGCGCGCACCAGATTCCACACAACAACACACTGCGGCTGCGGCTAGTCACTCACCACACATCTTCGAAGGACCACGGCGGCGAAGCCAATAAACGGGCTTGGTGGTCGGAAACGACGAGATGATTTATGGACATACTTTCAGTTTCAGTATAATCCAGCGGTTCTCAAGGTGTGTGGCGCGCCCCACTGGCGTGACAGGTCTCCTCCAAACGGGAGGAAATTTTCCGTTTTATGCCTTTTTATCTTTATTCGTTCATGCCGAGTCCGCATCGTCAAATTCATCTTTGCAGCGAAACCCGAAACCACCAGTTTATTAATAAACAATTAAATGTCTCCTTGCTATTTTTTTACACATTCATAATCATTACTTTTGCCGGTTCTTTGTGACAAGCTTTATGCGTGCGGTCGTGCGGCTATAACGCTCAATATCCCGTATAGCCTATTTAAGTAATTAAATTAATATAAAGGGGCGATTTGTCCACTATGGCTTAAATGAACAACTACTAATCGACTAGAAGAAAACTTTAGTCGGAGGCAGCTCTTATTCCACATATTCTCGAACAAGCAGGCCATTCTGTGTTGAGCGCGCGAGCCTGAGCTGAATGAGCGAGTGGAGGGATATTCAGAAATGCGCTCTTCGCTCACATGCTCTGATCGGAACAAACAAGGAATATTAAAGTAATTAATCATTAGTTTATTTCTTACACACTTCCCATACACTACCCATCATTTAATCCCATATCAACACAGTATGTTATGTCTATTTTATCTAGGCTATTAAAAAAAAAAATATATATATGTATGTGTGTGTGTGTGTATATATATATATCACGTTTTTAAGTAGGCTAAAGGCAGAGAGCTGTGTGCATTCTTCCCTTTGCCACATCATATCTCTGTGAGATGGGCTTTTCAGCTGTTTCAGTTTCACTGAAAACAAAGTACAGATCTCAGCTGAACATTGAGCAATTTTTATGAGAAATTGTGCAATTCAAAACAGGCTCATTGCAGCCACTAATGCAGGGATAAACAGACCTGTCTTGCCAAATGGATTTCTATTCTTTTCTTTTTTTTAACAGATTGCAAAGTGGCACTTTTATTTCTTTTCTATTTTTGAACTTCGATACCAATTTTGACACAGCCGCATTTTATTTTCTCTATTTTTTAAAGACTTTTTTTTTTTACTTAACTTGATTAAAACCTTTTTGCGTTTTCGTCGACTAAAACTTGACTAAAACTATTACGTTTTTAAGTGACTAAAATGTGACTAAAACTAAAAAGCATTTTCGTCCATAAGACTAAGACTAAAACTAAAAGGGCTGCCAAAAACAACACTGGTCTAGTGATCCTAAAGACCTTGATTAGTTTGCTCAGGGTTTGAGCTTTCTCAGGGCATTGACCCTCCATGGCAAGATTTGAGGAAATCTGATATATAAACTAATGCAGATTTGTATGTATTTTTGCTACACTGTTCTAATCGCTTGAGGTAGGCCTTCAAAGGTTAACATCCTCTCAGCCTTGTTGGCTACTAATGCAGCATCTAGTCAATAATCATTTTAAAATAACAACCTGTTATGTATTGTACGGTATACCTACATTTTCATTGTCAAAGTTGTAAATCTGCATCTGATATATTCTGCTCTGAGCAGACTGGTGTAGCGTAACGTGTCAAAACAAATACCACGAGGTGCCAGTGATAGTTTTTATTTCGCCTCTAGAGGCCGCTCTCGTACTGTGTAGTAACAGCGGACCCTTCTCAGCTGATCCTGCAGTGTGGATTATTGCTGATTACCATAGTCCAGATATCAGTTATTGGTGCCGATGAATCTGCTAAAACGATATATATGTGTGTGGACGTCTACTTTGAGCAGCAGTGTTTAACCTTTTAAAAAACTGCTGGTTTGTAGGATGCCATGAAGATCCACTATGAGAACAACACACCCTTCCTCACCATCAGCAGCATCACTCGAACCATCGAGGTGTCTCACTGGGGCAACATCGCCGTGGAGGAGACCGTCGATCTGAGACACACTGGTGCCTACCTGAAGGGGCCCTTCTCCCGCTACGACTACCAGAGACAGTCTGACAGCGGCATCTCCTCAGTCAAATCTTTCAAGGTGTCTTAACTCTCTTTTTATTTATCTACTTTTAAAAACTCCTTAAAGCAGGGGTCTCAAACTCAGCTTAACTGGGGGCCGCTGGAGGGAGAGTCTGGGTCAGGATGGGTATTCCAAAAAAAAATAGTATTCAAGTATTCCACAAAAGGAGCACAACTGATCCAATCTTCTCAATCTTTATTATTAACGTTTCTTCTGAATTTGAGCATTCCTTTCTGTGCATGATTGGTTCTTCATGAGCCGTCCTTCTGTCAGTTGAAGTTCATTTTACAAACTTTCTTTGTCTTTTCCTTATAACACATCTTTGTGATACTTATATTTGCTCATGTCCTTTTTATTTTCAATATGATATTGAATGTTTTTGTGGGAGGCACATTTCCTTTTATTATACTTAGAAAAACAATTATTGCTTTGGAAATACAAATATTTGCAGTCCTGTCTGCCCGTCTTATTGAATTCTCTCTACACATGTATAGTGTCTCAGGCAAATTACTGACTTTGCACAAATCAAAGCGAACCTCAACCTTCTTATCAACCTGTTGGACACATATTACAAGCTCAACATGATTATTCTCACATTGTTTTAGGCAGGGGTCTCCAACATGTCGCTCGTGGCCTGATTGGTGGTCGCTCGCCAGGGGCCTGTTCACATATCTTGCGCGCTCAAGTTCGTTATTTCAAATGAAGGCGCGCGGCGAGCGAGCTCATAATTGAAGCGACGCGCTCATTTTTTTTAGGCGCAGTATGTTTGTACTTCGCGGTTGTCATTGACAACTATAGACAACAAACCCACCGTGAGCTTTCACGAGACTATCTATGGTAGCCCATAAGGGATAAAAAAAAAAAAACGCGGCACACGCAACGACGGGCCGCACTAACATTAAACTTTAATGCCAAGTAGGGGGCCACAAAATATGTGCAGGTTTGTGTGAATGTATCATAACATTAACATGTTAATAATTATGAACATAGGCGCTGGAGAAAAATATATACAGTAAATACTGTAAATGTTTTATACCTTATGGGAACAGTCCCCTTCCCACCAAATTAAACACACACAAAATTAATTCAATTTAAATGTGTATATATATGTATATATATATATATGTATATACATATATACATATATACATATGACTCATTAATGTCATTTCATTAATAGATTGGTGTGCCAAGAGTGACATTAGTCTTCACTTAGACTGAGTTAAGCAAGAGTCTTGTGACAAATTATAATAGGACATTATAGCCATACCAAAATCGGTAACACTTTATAATAACTGCATGCTATTAATCATTTGTTAAGCATGAGTAAACAGTTAATTCATCATTTATAAAGCATTAATAGACATTAATAAGCAGTTTGTAAATACAGCTATAAACACTTTTTTTCTTGATTTATAAGCATATCTATAATGCGTTTAATAATTGTATTTTCATACTTTGTTAATGATCAATTAATAATTTCTAAATGAAGTATAGCATTATTTATAAACCAGTTATTTAAGAGTTGTCAGTTATTCATAAGATCACTTAGAAAGTGTAAGTAAATGTAGTAAATACAGGTAGTTATAAAGCATTTAGTAGTGGTCAGTTAACTATTTTGTGAGCTAATCTAAAGTGAGGACTATTCATGCCTTGTAAAGCATTTATAAAGGAGATTTAAAGGCGCATCAATCTTCTAAACAGTGAAATGTAACAAACACAACACAGTGATTCAGAACATAGAAATATTTAACAGCCTTTAAATCTCCTTTATAAATGCTTTACAAGGCATGAATAGTCCTCACTTTAGATGAGCTCACAAACATAGTTAACTGACCACTACTAAATACTTTATAACTACACGAATTAACCCTGAATTACAGCTTAAATACATGTTAATAAAGCATTTATTAACACACTAAGTAACCATCACTATATGTCTAAATAATATGTATGAATGTACATTTAAATAGTTTATTAATCATTTACTCACACGTTCTAAGTAATCTTGTGAACCACTGAAAACTCTTAAATAACTGGTTTATAAAAAATGCAATTAATCATTTAGAAATAATAAATTGATCATTAATAAAGGATGAAAATACAATTATTAAATAAATTATAGATATGCTTGTAAATCAAGAAGAAAGCATTTATAGCTGTATTTATAAACTGCTTATTAATGTCTATTAATGCTTTATGAATGATGAATTAACTGTTTACTCATGCTTAACTAATGATTATTAGCGTGTAGTTATTATAAAGTGTTACCAAAAAATCAAAGTACTTGGATACTTAAGTACATTTGAAGGCAAATACTTCTGTACTTTTACTCAAGTGAATGTTTAAAGGCAGCACTTCTACTTTTACTTGAGTAATATTTTACCTTGAGTATCTTTACTTTTACTCAAGTACGTGGTATGTGTACTTCGTCCACCACTGATTAAAATATATTCTTATCGAATTTCTAGGTTACAAATAGTAAACTTACAAACCTTGTTTTTAGCGGCTTCTTTACATAGCTGCTATTCAGCAAAGAGCCTGTTTAACTTTTAACTATAAATGTTCATCTGTCTATATAATAAAGTACACGACCAAGCAATGAAAAAAGCTTGTAATTAAGACTGTAACATTGACTTACCTGTCGAGAAGAAATCTTTCTCCTGCATTAGCTCTTTCCACCTGGAAAAAGCTATCCCAACTTTGTTTTTTGTAATCTCCGGTCATGTTTCCTTTTACGTTCTATTTTGGACTTTATGTATGGTTCGCCATTAAAAATAACAGTGCAATGCAGGCTTTTAAACTCGCCGGGGCCGTGACAAGCGCCTCTCACGGCTCTGCTCCTCCGCTTCTGCTGCGTTCAGTCACGTCACGCTGGCTCTGAATGGAAACGCGTTGGCCTAGTACTCTTTGTCCCTCTCTTGCTGTTATAGTTTTTCAAGATGGCGGAACTACATGGAAGCCTCCGTGGACCTACCCGTCCCATGTATATAGAGATAATAAATTCTTTGTTTACGAGGATAAAGGTCCTTTCACACTGGACGTGATTTTGACGCATGAATAATTTGCGCGATAGTTTTATTTTTTGATCAGCTGTGTGTGTGATGAGTGCTTCCACACCGAACGCGAATGTGCTGCGGCGAAAAAACAAGTTTTATTTTTTTCACTTCGATCTAGTTTTTTTTTTACTTTTGCGGTGACAGAAAAGGCTTCAGCCAATCACATACAAGGAAACAAAGGCGAAGCTTGTTGACGCTTTGGCCGCTCTGACGTAGTGGCATTATGTGCGAGAGAAGAGAAGTGTCACAACATGAAATGTAAACTAAAAACAAGCAACACATTGAAACTAGAAACCTTTTATAATGACAGCATTTTTATATTGCCTATTCCGCATCTCAACGCACGCATACCCATCATTTATGACATGACGTGTTTCTTACCAGCAAAAGAACGAGGCATGGGATAAAATAGCTGGGATAGTTGGTGTCTCCGGCGAGTTGATGAAGTGCGTGCTGATGATTTATAATATTTTTGACTAGGAGGGAAATAATTGATTTGGAATATTTTCAACATTCATGGTTGTGTGTTTCATATTATTTGTGCATGCATGTATAGGCCACACACCAGAGCATGAGCGTAAATAAAGCAGAGCGGGGTGACGCTTAAATAGGCCTATAAGTTAAACTCAAACAAAACATACGTTTCATATATACGTTTAAATAATATCCTATTTTTTTTATTTCATCTATGTTGATGAGCTATATGGGAACCGCATGAGATGAGTAGCCTAAGGATCATAAGATGCCCAATATATCGAAAACATTTGGAATGGGTCAGACATAATTTTGACCACTTATTAAGTTTTGTTTTGTAGAAAGCCTTTCTTTTAAAGTGAATTTCGTTTTGTATAAATTGTCTTAATTTTAATCAATGTTTCATCAACAAATTGCCTGGATTAATAGGAATAAGAAGCAAATATAGTAGACAATATAATGAGGACACGGAGGCGCCGGCGCGTGAACTGGAGCGCGTCTCATACCGAAAACTGACAGAAAACACTAGTTTATTAATAAACAATTCAAATGTTTAATGCATAATCCTTACTTTGGCCGGTTCTTTGTGGCAAAGTTTTAGCTACTTTACAAGATTAGCATACTCCCCTTCAGACTCTCTGTTCTTTAAGATTGGGTGCACACAAAACCTTCTTTTCTGTCTTTATAAAGAAAATGAAAAGCTCGTCTTCACTGGATGATGATGATGATGATGATGAAGTGTCCGTGTTTTCTCAGCTGTCGCCGCGAAAGTTTATGAATGTTGAAGCTCTGAACGTCGCAAATTCGCGTCGCGGCTGATGTGAATGGTTTTGACGCGAACTATTCGCTTTTCCGTTTCGCTTTTTCGTTACGCGTCCGGTGTGAAAGGGCCTTAAGTCAGATAATTGGCAGAGGTATGTGCAGGGTTCCCGCGGGGTCTTTAAAAGCCTTAAAAGCATTGAATTTATTAATTTGGAAATAATACCTTAAAGTCTTGAATTTTGATGTATGGGTCTTAAAAATTGTGCTGTATTCTTCTCCGTATTGTATTTTTCCTCAAAAGTTTCATTTGTCAACCACGATTATTATGATTTTCGATGTTTATTGTTCAGGGGTCTCTCAGTTCCCCATATTCCCAGCATGGAATAAGTAGTTAGCTAATGTAAAAAAAAAAACATAACATTGTTTGGCAAACTTTCTTGTGGCCTACTGAATTATTTTTATTTTTCACACCTGCTTGGCTTATCTTTTATCCATTCCACATTTGAAAAATAATTGAACACAAGTTCAAGGATTTTGTTTTTCTTTGCTGGTAGGGACGTGAAATAGGTATTCATTTTTTATATAAATGGTCTTAAAAAGACTTGAATTTAACTTGAAGAAACCTTTAAGAACCCTGTATATGTACATCATTGAGGACATATTTATGAATAGAAATATTGATTTTAGATAATAAAATACCTAAAAAAGTACACATTGTCCCTTTAAAGAATTTCGCAAAATGACAGCTGGTCCAACATAATGGCTCAGCTGAAGTTTGCGTTGCTATAGGCCAGTGATTCTCAACCGGTGGGCCGCGGCCCTCTAGTGGGCCTCGGAGCGCCATCTGGTGGGCCGTGTAGGCAGTGGTAAACTACCCCCAAATTAATTTTTATTTGTTTTTTTAATTGACAAATCTTGTTATTTTCTAATTATCTGATTGTTCTTATGAATTTATATGATCAAAAACACTCCAGTCCAGTCATAAAGCATTATCTAAAAGCGAATTTATGTTTAAATATCGCAACACCAATCACGTTACAACGTCAGATTGAACGTTTATTCGATCAGATGCAGTAACATTACGTTACTGTTATATGGATCGTATTCTGAAAAGAAACGCAGACGTGGGAGACAGACTGGTGCAAGCAAAAGCTGCGAAGTGTGTGGTGAGAAAATATAATGCTGAATACATTCAAATTGTTTTTTATAAGGGCAAGTCCTACTGAGACTAAAGCGGGTCGCACACCGGACGAGAAGCGCAGCGCCGCGTCGCGTCTAGGGGCCTGTTTACACCTGCTCACTTCATGTGTTTTTACTAATCAGATAGATATCCGATTTATCAAAACGATTCCATTTACACTTGATCACATAAATGTGTTTCCTCAAAACGGATATAGCCTAAATCCGATCTTCAATTCCCGCGCTATATGCTGATTTAATGGAGTTAACGTCACCGAAATCAAAAGATATGAGCTGCAATTTGTTGATCATCAGCTAATTTCAAAATCAAAGACCACAATAGGAGAGAACGGCAATGGCACATGGTAAGATAATTTCGTTTCTTTACTTTTAATGAAGATGATTGTGTGTTAAGCAAGGGTCTGCGACTACTTTCACTTTGATTTGCTATAAGTTGCGCGTTGGCTTGATGATGCTCAGCTGCTCTCATCTGCGGCGATTCGTAGCCCACTGCAGTAGCGCCGTCATATCTTCTGATTATAACATGACATATGCTCTCACATGTTTTTTTTTTGTTGTTTTTTTGCATTGTTGGGAGGAGTAACATTTACATATGTGGTTTCAACCAGATGCATTTCCACTTGTCCAGTTTCATCTGGAATGCGCCCCAGACCTCCTCCCTGTGGTTTGAGCGATCGGATTTAAATCCGTCTTTTGGTCTTTTCACAATCGGATAGCTATCCGAACACAGTTTAAAGTGGCCAGGTGTAAATTGCCCCTAGGAGCTAGGACAACTCAAGGTATCACACACCAGACGTGCGCACTTTCTCAGTTTATGGCCAGCAATATTGTTATGTTTAAGGACATTATTAAATTAAGATAATATCTGTACTATTATGATTGTATTGTAGCTACAATAAAATACAACCGTTGCTGAGTCTGCTGTAGAACACTTTACCTCAAGACGTACATTAACTGAATTAATTGAGAATCTCACCTGAAAATCCGATCATTTTCATCCACGCCGCTGATTTCTGTAAGTTAATGTAGCCTAAAACTAAATGTATCTTGTATCTATCTTAAGTCAGTGTAAATGGGGCTCTGTGGCACGGCAGGATTTTGAACAGGGTCCTGAGCCGTAGCTGGGTGCCGCGGACAGACGCCGAGTGGCGCTGCCGGTGTGTACACACTCATAGAAAGTAATGTGTTCGAATTTTAAAGCCTCTCGTCCGGTGTGCGACCCCCTTAAGCCGAAGGCACAGTGTGTTGAATGTGGAGAAACGTGTCAAATGAAGCGCTAAAAAAAACCCATCAAAGCTGCAGAAACATTTGACCTCAAAACACCCGGGCTGTGTTGGAAAGCCAAACGAATATTGTTTAAAACAGTCATGTTAATATCGCTAATTGTATTTGATAAATTATACTTACACTATGTAAATTGGGGTGAATGAACATTTCTGCTAATGAATGTTCCCCTCTTGTGTGTCTGACCCATTGTGCCTGTTATTGTTACAACAAGAATGGTTACTGAGTAAACCTGCCGAGTCGTTTTTATAGACAGTTTTCATCTATATAGCTGACTTGACCTAGTCTGCCAATGGCATAACAGATTAACAGCAGAGTATATCATTGCACTTTTTGAATTATCTGTTATTCTGTGTTCATACTATCATATTTGGAAAGGTGGTCCTTGGAATGTTTTTAAATAGTCATTGGTGGGCCATGAGTTGCAAAAGGTTGAGAACCCCTGCTATAGGCAACTCGAAAAAACTCTATTTTGGTCAGGGGTATGAAATATAAATTATATTTGGCTTTCCATTGAACATTTTAGTTTTCATATTTTCGAGTCTAGATATGCTTGAAAGACTTAGAGTGCCTCTTAAATAAAAGGAAAGTTATTCATTTAAAAATAAAAAAGTAAGTAAATCACTATTCAAACTGACAAAAATAAAGACCTTTAAAATTATTTTTAGACCGGTTGAAGTAGAGGAATCACGTGGCACTTGGTTTGGTGTTCTTCAACTTGTGTTTTGTACCCCTGCAGACCATCCTCCCAGCCTCTGCTCAGGACGTGTACTACCGCGACGAGATCGGGAACATCTCCACCTCTCACCTCCAAGTTCTAGATGATTCCGTAGAGGTTGAAATCCGTCCCCGTTTCCCGCTGTTCGGTGGCTGGAAAACACATTACATGATTGGTTATAATCTTCCCAGCTATGAATATCTCTACAATCTGGGTGTGTGTCTGGTTTATCAAGATTAGAAACATTTTCTTTTCATTTAAAGTAATTGTATAGTTACGAATCCATTTGTTCTTTAGGAGACCAGTATGCCCTGAAGATGCGTCTGGTCGATCATGTCTATGATGATCAGGTTATCGACCAGCTAACTGTGAAACTGATCCTTCCTGAAGGAGCCAAGTGAGCCTCTGATATGCACTCGCATCACATCTCAATCTAAATTGTTTACTTCCAAACAAAGTTTCATTTGGTGACTTACACTTACAGGTCGTATAAATATGACGATAGATTAACTGCTACTTTGTTGGTCTAGAAATATCCACATGGACACCCCCTACCCCATCACCCGCAGTCAGGACGAGCTGCATTACACTTACCTGGACACCTTCGGCAGACCTGTGCTGGTGGCCACCAAGAACAATCTGGTGGAGCAGCACATTCAGGACGTTGTGGTAATCTCAGACTTTCATAGGAGACCAGCGGGGTCTTCTTAAATGGTGTTCAATCTCTTGCAAGGATACAGAACTTCTGTAAAGCCTTAAGGTTCCTCAAGTACAATCCTGTCCTATCTAGGGATGCTCGATGATATCGGGACCACATCGGTATCGGCCGATAAAAGCTTAAAATGATCGATAGGGTGGCGTGTTTCCTATGCGCACGTGACGACTGTGAACGAAGCATGAGCAACTTAAACTTACAACTAGGGGTTGTGCGATAATCACGGTTTTTGATCGTGGACGATTAAAATGTCTCCACGATCTGCTTTTGAAGAAAAATCATAGTATCGTGCATTTTATCAGTTCAATTCTGGCGCCTTCATCTCAACATACTGTACAGCGCGACGTACATTCACATCACATCACATGTAAACGCAGAGATAGAGTTATACTCACGGGACACCGCCATTCACAAAAGTTCATTATTTGCATGTGCGTCAAAGTCTTGCTGGTTAAACATGTCATTCACGTGCTGATGCGCTGTTCTAACATCCGCTTTTCTGAGCGCGTTACACCCGACGCTCACAGGAACTAAAGCCGTCACAGCGCCTGCATACTGGACTGAGTTATCTTTCGAGTCTTATTGCGCTGATACTGTCAAATACACACAAGGTTTACATAAACAAAGTTGGTTATGTCTAAAGTGAAAGCAAACAGAGAAAATCTGCTTGTCAAATGCGTGTATATTAGACACGTCGCGTGCAGTTCTTAAAGAGACAGTATCTATAATATGCTGCCGCTTGTTCTTGTAGAGATACTGCACCCAAAAATACAAATTCTGTCATTATTTACTCACTCTAATGTTGTTCCAAACCTGTATTCATTTCTTTCTTGTGCTTAAATATACTATGGAAGTCACTGGAGTACAGCAACTGTTTGGTTAGCCACATTCTTCCAAATAACTTATTTTCAACAGAAGAAAGAAATTTATTTGGGTTTAAAACAAGTTGAGTAAATGATGACAATTTAAATTTTTGGGAGAACTATCCCTTTAATGTTAATTAAACAACAAAACACATAGAGGAAATCACTCACTGCGCTTGACTGAGAACTTTAATAGAAGCTTTAATAAGCTTTTGCACTTAAAAAAAAAACCCAAATACATCGGCATCGGGCAAAATTAGTTTGAAAATATTGGGATATCGAATATCGGCCAAAATCCAATATCGTGCATCCCTATTCCTATCATCTTATCCTGATGCTCTTTACAGCGTTGCTTTAAAATATGAAAACTAAAATGTTCAGCCCATATTTTAGAGTCTGGTCTAGATATGCATGGAAGACTAAGAGTGCTTCGTAAATAAAAGAAAAGTTACTAATTTAAAAATAAGAAGGTAAATCACTATTCAAACTGACAAAAAAAAAGACCTTAAAATGATTTAAAGCTTAAAATGTTAAATGCAATTGGCAAATGGATCAAGCAATTTGTAAATTGCAATTTAAATGTAACAAATGCTACATTTAACTCGAATTATACATATAAATTAGAAGGTTTTAAATGCATTCACTTTTACCTTTTTTACATTTTTATTTTTCAATCAACACTTTTTTCTTTTTTTTTACATTTAAGCTCATTAAGAAAAATAATGTAATGTTCTTAAATTTCTTGCATATAAATTTTTTTCTTTTAATTTTCTTCTACATAATGTAATATAAAGCTATTCAAAAACCTACTTTTTTCATCAATCAAACTACAGTATTGTTTTGGATATTTTTATTTAGAGCAAATAGAAGTGTATGCAAAGTGTCAAATGTCTTGTGGAGGCAGTGACCTCACACGTGTGCTTATGCAAAAAGTAGCAAGTATAAACCCTGTGTGTTTTTCTCATTAGGTTCACTATAACTTCAATAAGATCCTGATGCTGCAGGAGCCGTTGTTAGTGGTGGGAGCGTTCTACATCCTCTTTTTCACAGTCATCATCTACGTGCGCCTCGACTTCTCCATCACCAAGGTGCACCTGGAGCACACAGTATTGTTGGAATGACTGATATAGCAAGCCGTTTTAGCTTAAATTGTACCCAGCCTTACTCATCTTAATTTCATTTTTACTAGTAAGAATTCAATTAGAGAGCTTTACAATTCAATTTGTACTTGTAGCAATTACAATTAGAGAGCTCTCTAATTCGATTCTACTAGTAAGAATTGAATTACTAGTAAGAATTGAATTGTAGAGCTCTCTAAATCAGTTTTTACTAGTAAGAATTGAATTGTAGAGCTCTCTAAATCAGTTTTTACTAGTAAGAATTGAATTGTAGAGCTCTCTAAATCAGTTTTTACTAGTAAGAATTGAATTGTAGAGCTCTAAATCAGTTTTTACTAGTAAGAATTGAATTGTAGAGCTCTCTAAATCAGTTTTTACTAGTAAGAATTGAATTGTAGAGCTCTCTAAATCAGTTTTTACTAGTAAGAATTGAATTGTAGAGCTCTCTAAATCAGTTTTTACTAGTAAGAATTGAATTGTAGAGCTCTAAATCAGTTTTTACTAGTAAGAATTGAATTGTAGAGCTCTCTAAATCAGTTTTTACTAGTAAGAATTGAATTGTAGAGCTCTCTAAATCAGTTTTTACTAGTAAGAATTGAATTGTAGAGCTCTCTAAATCATTTTTACTAGTAAGAATTGAATTGTAGAGCTCTCCAAATCAGTTTTTACTAGTAAGAATTGAATAGTAGAGCTCTCTAAATCAGTTTTTACTAGAAAGAATTGAATTGTAGAGCTCTCCAAATCAGTTTTTACTAGTAAGAATTGAATTGTAGAGCTCTCTAAATCAGTTTTCACAAGTAAGAATTGAATTGTAGAGCTCTCTAAATCAGTTTTTACCAGTAAGAATTGAATTGTAGAGCTCTCTAAATCAGTTTTTACTAGTAAGAATTGAATTGTAGAGCTCTCTAAATCAGTTTTCACAAGTAAGAATTGAATTGTAGAGCTCTCTAAATCAGTTTTTACTAGTAAGAATTGAATTGTAGAGCTCTCCAAATCAGTTTTTACTAGTAAGAATTGAATAGTAGAGCTCTCTAAATCAGTTTTTACTAGAAAGAATTGAATTGTAGAGCTCTCTAAATCAGTTTTTACTAGTAAGAATTGAATTGTAGAGCTCTCTAAATCAGTTTTTACTAGAAATAATTGAATTGTAGAGCTCTAAATCATTTTTTACTAGTAAGAATTGAATTGTAGACCTCTCTAAATCAGTTTTTACTAGTAAGAATTGAATTACTAGTAAGAATTGAATTGTAGAGCTCTCTAAATCAGTTTTTACTAGAAAGAATTGAATTGTAGAGCTCTCCAAATCAGTTTTTACTAGTAAGAATTGAATTGTAGAGCTCTAAATCAGTTTTTACTAGTAAGAATTGAATTGTAGAGCTCTCTAAATCAGTTTTTACTAGTAAGAATTGAATTGTAGAGCTCTCTAAATCAGTTTTTACTAGTAAGAATTGAATTGTAGAGCTCTCTAAATCAGTTTTTACTAGTAAGAATTGAATTGTAGAGCTCTCCAAATCAGTTTTTACTAGTAAGAATTGAATAGTAGAGCTCTCTAAATCAGTTTTTACTAGAAAGAATTGAATTGTAGAGCTCTCCAAATCAGTTTTTACTAGTAAGAATTGAATTGTAGAGCTCTCTAAATCAGTTTTCACAAGTAAGAATTGAATTGTAGAGCTCTCTAAATCAGTTTTTACCAGTAAGAATTGAATTGTAGAGCTCTCTAAATCAGTTTTTACTAGTAAGAATTGAATTGTAGAGCTCTCTAAATCAGTTTTCACAAGTAAGAATTGAATTGTAGAGCTCTCTAAATCAGTTTTTACTAGTAAGAATTGAATTGTAGAGCTCTCCAAATCAGTTTTTACTAGTAAGAATTGAATAGTAGAGCTCTCTAAATCAGTTTTTACTAGAAAGAATTGAATTGTAGAGCTCTCTAAATCAGTTTTTACTAGTAAGAATTGAATTGTAGAGCTCTCTAAATCAGTTTTTACTAGAAATAATTGAATTGTAGAGCTCTAAATCATTTTTTACTAGTAAGAATTGAATTGTAGACCTCTCTAAATCAGTTTTTACTAGTAAGAATTGAATTACTAGTAAGAATTGAATTGTAGAGCTCTCTAAATCAGTTTTTACTAGAAAGAATTGAATTGTAGAGCTCTCCAAATCAGTTTTTACTAGTAAGAATTGAATTGTAGAGCTCTAAATCAGTTTTTACTAGTAAGAATTGAATTGCAGAGCTCTAAATCAGTTTTTACTAGTAAGAATTGAATAGTAGAGCTCTCTAAATCAGTTTTTACTAGTAAGAATTGAATTGTAGAGCTCTAAATCAGTTTTTACTAGTAATAATTGAATAGCAGAGCTCTCTAAATCAGTTTTTACTAGTAAGAATTGAATTGTAGAGCTCTCTAAATCAGTTTTTACTAGTAAGAATTGAATTGTAGAGCTCTAAATCAGTTTTACTAGTAAGAATTGAATTGTAGAGCTTTCTAAATCAGTTTTTACTAGTAAGAATTGAATTGTAGAGCTCTAAATCAGTTTTTACTAGTAAGAATTGAATTACTAGTAAGAATTGAATTGTAGAGCTCTAAATCAGTTTTTACTAGTAAGAATTGAATTACTAGTAAGAATTGAATTGTAGAGCTCTAAATCAGTTTTTACTAGTAAGAATTGAATAGTAGAGCTCTAAATCAGTTTTTACTAGTAAGAATTGAATTGTAGAGCTCTAAATCAGTTTTTACTAGTAAGAATTGAATTGTAGAGCTCTCTAAATCAGTTTTTACTAGTAAGAATTGAATTGTAGAGCTCTAAATCAGTTTTTACTAGTAAGAATTGAATTGTAGAGCTCTCTAAATCAGTTTTTACTAGTAAGAATTGAATTGTAGAGCTCTCTAAATCAGTTTTTACTAGTAAGAATTGAATTGTAGAGCTCTAAATCAGTTTTTACTAGTAAGAATTGAATAGTAGAGCTCTCTAAATCAGTTTTTACTAGTAAGAATTGAATTGTAGAGCTCTCTAAATCAGTTTTTACTAGTAAGAATTGAATTGTAGAGCTCTAAATCAGTTTTTACTAGTAAGAATTAAATTGTAGAGCTCTAAATCAGTTTTTACTAGTAAGAATTGAATTGTAGAGCTCTCTAAATCAGTTTTTACTAGTAAGAATTGAATTGTAGAGCTCTAAATCAGTTTTTACTATTAAGAATTGAATTGTAGAGCTCTCTAAATCAGTTTTTACTAGTAAGAATTGAATAGTAGAGCTCTAAATCAGTTTTTACTAGTAAGAATTGAATAGTAGAGCTCTAAATCAGTTTTTACTAGTAAGAATTGAATAGTAGAGCTCTAAATCAGTTTTTACTAGTTAGAATTGAATTGTAGAGCTCTCTAAATCAGTTTTTACTAGTAAGAATTGAATAGTAGAGCTCTAAATCAGTTTTTACTAGTAAGAATTGAATTGTAGAGCTCTAAATCAGTTTTTACTAGTAAGAATTGAATTGTAGAGCTCTAAATCAGTTTTTACTAGTAAGAATTGAATTGTAGAGCTCTCTAAATCAGTTTTTACTAGTAAGAATTTAATTGTAGAGCTCTAAATCAGTTTTTACTAGTAAGAATTACATAAGAGAGCTCTTTAATTCAATTACAGAGGTCTACAATTCAATTCTTACTAGTGAAAATACAATTAGAGAGCTCTACAAATGAATTTTTACTAGTCATGTCTCCATTGACTTCCATTCATTTTTAATTACAGTGCTCTCTAATTGAATTCTTACTAGTAAAAATATAATTACGACGAGTAAGGCTGGGTACAATTTAAGCTAAAACGGCTTGCCATAGACTGAAGGTGTCAGGTTCTCATCGAAGCTGTCTGTGTCCTCCTCTCCTGTGCCAGGATCCCGCAGCAGAGGTGCGTATGAAGGTGGCCTCCATCACAGAGCAGGTCTTGACTCTGGTCAACAAGCGTCTAGGCCTGTACCGCCACATGGATGAAGTGGTGAACCGCTACAAGCAATCCCGGGACACCGGAGCCCTAAACAGCGGCCGCAAGACTCTAGAGGCTGAACACCGCACCCTCACCAATGACATCACTGCTTTACAAGCCCGTCTCAAGGCAGAGGGCTCCGATCTGGCTGAAAAAGTAGTGCATCTCGTCAGAAGCCGTTCTTTTATCTTGTTTCAAAATGCTTAAAGGGATAGTTCACCCAAAAATGAAGACTCTGTCGTAATTACTCTCCCTCATGTTGTTCAACCCCATAAGACTTTCGTTCATCTTCAGAACACAAATGAAGATATTTTGATTAAATCTGAGAGCTGGATCACTCCTCCATAGGCTTCTTAAGGGATCGAAACTGGCCGGCCCAGAAAAGTTATGAAAGACATCGTTAAAATAGTCCGAGTGACGACAGCGGCTCAACCTTAAGTTTATCAAGCGACGAGAATACTTTCTGTGCGCAAAAAACACAAAAATAACGACTTTATTCAACTATTCATTTCCTTCTCTGTGGGCCGTGAGATTTCTCGTAGTGTAACAGCGCAGCGCTTCTGTGTTGTACGTCACACACAGGCTCACTATTGGCCGACGCTGGTCGTGTGTGTGTGTGTGTGCGTGTGTGTGTGTGTGTGTGTGTGTGTGTGTGTGTGTGTGTGTGTGAGACGTACAACACAGAAGCGCTGCGCTGTTACACTACGAGAAATCTCACGGCCCACAGAGAAGGAAATGAATAGTTGAATAAAGTCGTTATTTTTGTGTTTTTTGCGCACAGAAAGTATTCTCATCGCTTGATAAACTTAAGGTTGAGCCGCTGTCGTCACTCGGACTATTTTAACGATGTCTTTCATAACTTTTCTGGGCCGGCCAGTTTCGATCCCTTAAGAAGCCTATGGAGGAGTGATCCAGCTCTCAGATTTAATCACAAATATCTTAATTTGTGTTCCGAAGATGAACGAAAGTCTTACGGGGTTGAACAACATGAGGGAGAGTAATTACTGACAGAGTTTACATTTGTGGGTGAACTATCCCTTTAAGCTGGTTCTAACCGTTCCTCCGCCTGCAGGTTGGTGAGATACAGAAGCTGGACGGCCAGCTGAAGGATCTGGTGTGCCGATCCTGTCAGGAAGCTGAGCGGCTGGTGGCCGGAAAGGTGAAGAAGGACGCCTACATCGACTCGGATAAAACCCTGGCGGGCAAGAGGCAAGAGCTGGTCAGCCGCATCGACAGCCTTCTGGACGCCTTGTAAATCCAACATCACTCACACCGGACTGGCAGATCAACTGTACACTCGCATACAACATGCCTCATTCTGTGAACGTCATGTCGGTGCCTTTGTAGGCAGTTTGCAGGGTGTGTGTGTTTTGTGTGTGTGGTTGTGGAAGAGGGTTTTGTTTGTTTCGCTTTTCTGAATGTCAGATGCAGTCTTCATTATCATAGTCCAGCAAACTGCTTCCTTTTCATTATCATTTGCAGTTTTTGGAGTCGGATTTGAATTTAAATTGGTTCCACGTCGTCTCATCGTAATCTCACCTGAACATCATTGCACTTATTGTTTCCCCAAAAAAATCGAGATAGAGAGAAAATGATCGTCCCCGTCCTAAAACACAAGTATGGAACATAAGGTGCTGAAAAGGTTGACACTGATATGCTCATGTTTGGAAATTTTCTATTGGGTTTTTATTTCTCACATTTTTGTATGATTTTCTTTTATTGTAAATGACGTACTTCAGTTCCACAGTGAATGAGATTGATTTTTGTATGTCACGGGTAAATGTGACACATTTTGCTGGTGAAACATTTTCAGTCCGTTAATAAACAAGGTGTTTAAAACCGGACCAGTGATCTGATTTATTTGACTATAGCAGTCTTTGCCAAGTAAAGCAATTCTACTTCAAAATGTTCAGGCCATTAGGCACCTGTCATTAATCTAAAATAACTTTTATTTCTATCAAGGCCTTGGTTTCCATAAATTTCTCTTTTCTCCCTGAATAAAAAAAATACATTTTTTGGGAGGTAGCAAATTAAATCTTGAATATTTTGCAACTTTAAGAAGAAAGTTTCATGATTCTTTGGTTTTTTTTTTTTTTACCATGTTATTTTTAATGGATGTGTGTAATCAATATAAGACAGCTCTTTAGATATTGGTTTTTAAATGACATTGCTGGAAATTGAGTATCTGAATTTTACTGTGTAATAAACCCGTTTTTGACAAAAGACTTGACAGTTAACAATCAGATCTGTTTCCAAGTTATGATATAATTTGTTTTTGTGGGTGTGTGTGTATATTTTTAGTTCATGGTATAGTCTACAGCGCCGTTGTTCAAAAAGTTTCATCTGGATCGGAATTACATAGATTTGGAAATCCCATGTTTTGCTATCCATGATCAGGTAATCCATCTTAATATTGTGTTGGGTTTTCAATTATCAACACAAATATAATTGGATCACACTTTTTCAGATTACCAATCCAGATTACTACCAGTGCTCTAAATAGGGTTAGATTTCACAATGTAAAGAACAACCGGTAGAAGAGTCCACATGGGTCACTTTAAGTGTTTTAATTGAAAAGAAAGAAAACAACATGTGCAAATATCACCTTCCATTTTCAATTTCCTTTAAACAATCAGAGGCAGTAAAGGGACATGGTGATGGAAAATAAATATGTAATGATAGACAAATTATATACTTTCATGCGTTTTGCGATCCCCAAGAAACTTTGCATTCATTTGCAAAGAACTTTTTGAGTTTTGAAAAGGAATGCAAAGTTTCTTGGGGGAACGCAAAAGCATTAAAATAATTGTTCCTCCCATCACCAGTTTCTGTAGACCCTCATGTGACCCTCGACAAAAACAAACAAATCTACACTCAATAAGGGAAGCAGCAGATCATCAGAGATGAGCCAGTCGAAAGTAGTTTCTAACCATGTAGTTTATATACAGTGATAAAAAATCACATTTTGTTTGATATTGAAAGCTGTTTGGGTGATTATTTTTTGGGGTCAAAATCTCTAATTCCTTCACTGTACTGAAAGGTTAGGTATGTCTACTTCTACTTTATTACTTTAATGCTTAAACTAATCAAGAGCAAGTTAAAAAATATGAATGTGTGTATATATATATATACAGGTCCTTCTAAAAAAATTAGCATATTGTGATAAAGTTCATTATTTTCCATAATGTAATGATCAAACTTAAACGTTCATATATTTTAGATTCATTGCACACCAACTGAAATATTTCAGGTCTTTTATTGTTTTAATACATTTTGGCATACAGCTCATGAAAACCCAAAATTCCTGTCTCAAAAAATTTGCATATCATGAAAAGGGTCTCTAAACGAGCTATTAACCTAATCATCTGAATCAACTAATAAACTCTAAACACCTGCAAAAGATTCCTGAGGCTTTTAAAAACTCCCAGCCTGTTTCATTACTCAAAACCGCAATCATGGGTAAGACTGCCGACCTGACTGGTGTCCAGAAGGCCATCATTGACATCCTCAAGCAAGAGGGTAAGACAGAAAGAAATTTCTGAACAAATAGGCTGTTCCCAGAGTGCTGTATCAAGGCACCTCAGTGGGAAGTCTGTGGGAAGGAAAAAGTGTGGCAAAAAACGCTGGACAACGAGAAGAGGTGACCGGACCCTGAGGAAGATTGTGGAGAAGGACCGATTCCAGACCTTGGGGGACCTGCGGAAGCAGTGGACTGAGTCTGGAGTAGAAACATCCAGAGCCACCGTGCACAGGCGTGTGCAGGACATGGGCTACAGGTGCCGCATTCCCCAGGTCAAGCCACTTTTGAACCAGAAACAGCGGCAGAAGCACCTGACCTGGGCTACAGAGAAGCAGCACTGGACTGTTGCTCAGTTTTGCATGTTATTCGGAAATCAAGGTGCCAGAGTCTGGAGGAAGACTGGGGAGAAGGAAATGCCAAAATGCCTGAAGTCCAGTGTCAAGTACCCACAGTCAGTGATGGTCTGGGGTGCCATGTCAGCTGCTGGTGTTGGTGCACTGTTTTATCAAGGGCAGGGTCAATGCAGCTAGCTATCAGGAGATTTTGGAGCACTTCATGCTTCCATCTGCTGAAAAGCTTTATAGAGATGAAGATTTCATTTTTCAGCACGACCTGGCACCTGCTCACAGTGCCAAAACCACTGGTAAATGGTTTACTGACCATGGTATTACTGTGCTCAATTGGCCTGCCAGCTCTCCTGACCTGAACCCCATAGAGAATCTGTGGGATATTGTGAAGAGAAAGTTGAGAGACGCAAGACCCAACACTCTGGATGAGCTTAAGGCCGCTATCGAAGCATCCTGGGCCTCCAGAACACCTCAGCAGTGCCACAGGCTGATTGCCTCCATGCCACGCCGCATTGAAGCAGTCATTTCTGCAAAAGGATTCCCGACCAAGTATTGACTATTGAGTGCATAACTGAACATAATTATTTGAAGGTTGACTCTTTTATTTTATTTTATTAAAAACACTTATTTTATTGGTCGGATGAAATATGCTAATTTTTTGAGACAGGAATTTTGGGTTTTCATGAGCTGTATGCCAAAATCATCAGTATTAAAACAATAAAAGACCTGAAATATTTCAGTTGGTGTGCAATGAATCTAAAATATATGAAAGTTTAATTTTTATCATTACATTATGGAAAATAATGAACTTTATCACAATATGCTATTTTTTTGAGAAGGACCTGTATATATTTACATGATACAAATGTTGTATTTTAAATATTTTTGTTCCTGAAAACCTGGAAGCTGGGATCAGGATAATCCTGGGTTTTTTTTTGTGGATTAAAGGTATCCCAATCCCACAGAAAATGTTGAACATTACAAACTGACGATTTGCTCCAGATCAAAACTTAGAATGTTGTGGTTCAATCTGATTTCAGAATCCTTTCTCAAGATTTGATCCAATCCGATAACCGAAATCCAAAAAAGAAAAAGAAATGTAAAAGAAGTACACCAGAAGAGCCTCTCTTTAATGAGTATGCATGTTCTGGCCACAAGAGGGCAATATCACGCTGCACTCGGTCTGAACCCACTCTTGACCCCATCTGTCTAGACCAGTGGTTCTCAACTCCAGTCCTCGGGACCCACTGCTCTGCATATTCTCCCTTATTTAACACACCTGATTCAGATCCTCAGCTCGTTAGGATATATGAACTGAACTGAGTGTGTCAGATAAGAGAGACATACAAAATGTGCAGAGCAGCGGGTCCCGAGGACTGGAGTTGAGAACCACTGGTCTAGTGGTTGTTAAAGGGATAGTTCACTCCAAAATGTAAACTCTGTCAGTAATTACTCTCCCTCATGTTGTTCAACCCCGTAAGACTTTCGTTCATCTTCGGAACACAAATTAAGATATTTGTGATTAAATCTGAGAGCTGGATCACTCCTCCATAGGCTTCTTAAGGGATCGACACTGGCCGGCCCAAAAGTTATGACGTAAAAGTTATAAAGTAAAATAGTCACTCGGACTATTTTAACGATGTCTTTCATAACTTTTGGGCCGGCCAGTTTCGATCCCTTAAGAAGCCTATGGAGGAGTGATCCAGCTCTCAGATTTAATCAGAAATATCTTCATTTGTGTTCCGAAGATGAACGAAAGTCTTACGGGGTTGAACATGAGGGAGAGTAATTACTGACAGAGTTTACATTTTGGGGTGAACTATCCCTTTAACGTTCTTAACCTAACCCGTCTGGGTAACACTTTATTTTAAGGGGCTTGTAATAAGCAGTGATTAACAGTTAATAAGACACTTATAAGACCTTATAAGATGCATATAAGATGCATATAAGCATTAACTAATGATAATAAATCAATTAAATTAATTAATACATTTCTCAAGTATCAATACATTGCACTTTTAGAACAGCCGAACAAACATAAATGGTAACACAAACTCCCAGTCACTTAAAAATTGGCCTTCCCAAGAGGGAGTAGTTTCCCTGATCTCTTCAGGGCCTGGACCTTTAATTAACCCTTATATGAAGTAGTTAATGCTCATATGCATCTTATAAGGTCTTGTAAGTGTCTTATTAACTGTTAATTACTGCATATTACAAGTCCTTAAAATAAAGTGTTACAGGCCTTCATTGCTAACATGCACAACAAATCTGTATTGATATATAATGGCCAACCTTACGTGAGGTGCTTCTACTGGACCTCCACATCAGGCCCAGGATCCAAGACGCTGGCAGAGGTCAAGCGGAGGTCATCGCCACCTCATGAGTGAGGTCATCACAGGGCCACTTCCTGCGCCAACACAACAACAGCCATTCTCGTCTCTATGATAACGCAGACATATTGTATATGCTGTACAATAATCAT